TATATTAAAAATCAATATAAAACTTATGATAATTTTGTCTTGTATATTAAAATCAGTCTAAAACTTATGAATTCAAATGTAACACGTACGATGGAGAATTATCTATGAGCTCTTGAACCTTGACTTTTTAGTAGTGGATTTAACTATTCTAGTTGATTAGAATGTCTAATAAGTTGGATTCCCACATGGAAGGGTGAGATTGTGGGAGAAAAATGGAGTTAGAATTAGTGGCATTTGGCTACATCCAATCCAATTATGGTCTCACTGAGTCAACCAAAGCAGGGAAATGAAAAAAAAGAAAAAGAAAAGAGGGATGATAATTTTCAGTCAAATTGGATGCATCTATGTATAGATTTGTAATAATTTGGTGATGTGGAAAAAAATGCAAAGCCAACCCCCAAAATAGTGTTGTCCAAACAGCTAGAAGACGATGGGGGGAAATGAAATTAATAAATAAATAAACAAAAGCCAATAAGACAAAAGAGCCAAATTTTACTTCGCCCAACATAATCCTCACAATTATCAATGATGTCTCCTCCTAATCATCGTTGTTATTTGTAATTACATCATTAAAAAAAATAAAAACAACATTGTAAAGGCTTGATGTAGCAGGCATGTCGGGGAAGAGTTTAATATGGCATTTGGACTAACAATAGTTGAATTGTTAACAATAACTTGATTAAATTAATATACTCTTGTATTTGTTAATGTAAAAATTTTTATTTGAAATTAAGACAAAGATTTGAAATTTTTGTCATGGGCAGCAGTTAATTCTTAATATATATGTGTGTATGGGATAGAATTAAACAATAGAGCTTTAATTTTGGCATTTGATCAACAATCATAATAAACTTTTTAATATTGTATAAAATTATAAAATTATAATTTTATATATCATTAAATAAATATAATATTATTGAGATACTTTTAAAATAGAAAAAATTAATTATATAGTAAACTTATAATATTATAAATGCATAATTTTTGTTTGACTAATTCCCTCCACGACTGTTTGTGTGACATCACAGGTGTCTATGGTCAAATGTACAGTGCACATTAAGATTATTTTAATATGAATTATTTTTAGTGTCATTTTCATATATTAATCATGACATTCTCATGGCAAAAAAGAACCAAAAAAAAAAATGAAATTATCATTTTAATGAACCAAAAAAATTTTAAACAGTGAAAATGCTTGGGCCGGAAACAATTGTGTTGTTGTCCCTCTGGGCTTCGATAGTCGAATCTTATCTATTTCAAGACCAGTATCAAGGCCCAAACACAGATATTACAAATTTTTTTAAAAATTTATTTATTTCTGTTCATATCTGGAAATTTATTGTCTCTCCGGCGAGGGGGCGACGGGCAAGAGCATCCAGCTTCTGATCAATGGCCACCTTTTCGTTAACCCATCAAATTCATCATACTCCGGGCACCTGATTCTGGAAGAACCAAGCTTTGACTAAAACGAACCAGAAATAGGGTCGGTTTAATCCCAGTAGAATCGTTCTCCGACACATTTGATCTTGAGCTTGCGGAGTCTCTGGAAGATTCTCTCCCATCTACTTCTTTTTTCGCCCTGACAGAAGCTCAGGGATAGGTCGTCACAATCCATTCTCTCAACCCAATGGTCTTCTCGAAAGGACGAGCCTTTTCGCTTCACGGACACTTCTTCCCTCAGGCGGTCGGAAATAAAGCCAATTGCTTCCGCTCCTGAATTCCTGGATTTACTGGACCCTTCAGGTGATGCTCAGTTCACTAATATTGTTATTGCTGATGGGTTTACTATTGATTCTTTGTGCAAATTTTCGAACTTGCCTAATGGGTTTAAGTGGGTAGGTTGTCGAGGCTGTCCTCAGAGAGAATTGCGAAATGGGTATCGGAGTTTTCGGGGATTTTCAGTGGGGTAATTTGTTTTGGTCTGTCAGGGATAGGGGCGTCTGCTTTGATGGTGGTGTATGTGTCCAAATGATGTACAGTGGAGGATCCGATGTATTTGAGGTATTTTTCTGTTGAGGGAGGAGATGAGAGCTCCAAGAAGTTGCCATTATCGAATCCAAGGGTGTTTGTTTTGGTTGAGAAGGGAGGAGAGATTGGGATAGTAGAGGAGTTCATTGGGGAAGAAGGAAGTCATGTAATTGGGCAAATCCTGTGTTGTTCAAAGTGGTTCATTCATAAAGTATCTAATCCCACATCGGCCAGATAAGAAACCATTTGCGTGTTCATATTCTGACTTCTAACCACCGCGGTTGTGTTCGTAGAAAGGAGAGATGGTTGGCATCTCCCCTGACAGGGACGAGAACGGCCTTCTGGCCTACCTGTTACCGACACATACGGTTAAGGCACCCCACCTTTCAGGTGGATCTCTAACCCAATTTTTTATTTTCCCATTTTTCCTTTTTGGCATTTTCCCAGGATATTTTTCCTTTCGTTATAATTCTTCATGTTAGGTTTTTTGAATTCAGATAAGGTAAGGAAAATGCAAATTATCCATTGAAAAAAGATCTGCTTCTTCTTCTTCTTCCAAAGTTCTCCCTTCATGGCAGCCGCTATCTTCACTCTAGATGTCCATTATTCAATCTCAAAGTCTGATACAAAGAGACCCATTTTCTTCCCCAAAACCCTAAAGAAAAACCCCACAAAAAGGTTCACAGTCTCTTGCATATCCAATGAATCTCCATCAAAACCTCCTCTAAACCCACCGGGATCAACCAATGCCAAAAACCCATCTTTGTCTGACCAACTAAAGCCTCTCTCCACCAACAGACTTTCCCCTTCTAAGAAAGACCAGAGCCCCCGTCTCCTGTCCAAGCCAAAGTCCACATGGGTCAATCCCGCCAGGGCGAAAAGGTCTGTGCTTTCATTGCAAAGGCAAAAGCGCTCTCCGTATCCTTACAATCCTCGAGACAGAGAGCTGAAGCTGTTTGCAAAGAAGCTCAGTGATTGTGGATTTAGTGAAGATGCTTTCTCGGCTGCTCTCGAGGAAATCCCGCACCCACCCACCAGGGAAAATGCAGTCTTGATGCTTAATATCTTGAAACCATGGCAGAAGACTCTTTTGTTCTTCAATTGGATCAAGGCCCAGAATTTGTTTCCAATGGAAACTCTATTCTACAATATAACGATGAAGTCCTTGAGGTTTGGGAAACAGTTTGATATCATTGATGAGCTTGCTAATGAGATGGTAAGCAATGAGATTCCCCTTGACAACATTACATATTCTACTATTATTACTTGTGCCAAAAGATGTAATCGTTTTGATGAGGCTGTTGAGTGGTTTGAGAGAATGTATAAAACTGGATTGATGCCTGATGAGGTTACTTATTCTGCAATTTTAGATGTTTATGCAAAGTTGGGCAAGGTAGAGGAGGTGCTTAGTTTGTATGAGAGAGGGGTAGCTAGTGGGTGGAAACCTGACCCTATTGCGTTCTCTGTATTAGGAAAGATGTTTGGTGAGGCTGGAGACTATGACGGTATTAGGTATGTTCTGCAAGAAATGAAGTCTCTCGGAGTGGAGCCAAATTTGGTTGTCTACAATACATTGTTAGAGGCAATGGGCAAGGCAGGGAAGCCTGGGTTGGCCAGAACCCTTTTTCAAGAAATGCTTGAGTCGAGTTTAACCCCAAACGAGAAGACTTTAACTGCCCTTGCAAAGATTTATGGCAAAGCAAGGTGGGCAAAAGATGCACTGGGATTATGGGAGGAAATGAAGTCTAAAAATTGGCCAAGGGATTTTATTTTGTATAACACACTGTTGAATATGTGTGCCGACATTGGATTGGTGGAGGAGGCAGAGAGTCTTTTTGAGGATATGAAGCTATCGGATAACTGTAGGCCAGATAGTTGGAGCTACACTGCTATGCTGAACATATATGGGAGTGGAAGGAATGCTGACAAGGCAATGAAGTTGTTTAAAGAAATGTCTGAGTTAGGTGTTGAGCTTAATGTGATGGGGAGCACTTGTTTGATTCAAGGCTTGGGGAAGGCTAGAAGAATTGATGATTTGGTTAGGGTGTTTGCTGTCTCAGTAGAACAAGGGATCAAGCCAGATGACAGACTCTGTGGATCCTTGTTGTCTGTTGTGTCATTGTGTGAGAGCAGGGAAGATATCGAGAAGGTTCTTTCCTGTCTGCACCAAGCTAACCCCCGGTTGGTAGCATTCGTGAAATTGATTGAACAAGGGGAAACTAGTTTTGAGGTTATCAAAGAAAAGTTCAGGGATATTATCAGTGACACCACTGATGATGCAAGAAGACCATTCTGTAATTGCTTGATTGATATATGCAGGAATAGAAACTTGCATGAGAGAGCACATGAGCTGCTTTATCTGGGAACCCTATACGGGCTGTACCCTGGTTTACACACTAAAACTGTGGATGAGTGGAGTCTGGATGTTCGGTCACTGTCTGTTGGAGCAGCTCAGACTGCACTTGAAGAATGGATTGGGACTCTAGCCAAGATTGTTAGACAGGAAGAAGCGTTGCCAGAACTATTTTCAGCTCAAACCGGTTCAGGAACTCACAACTTTTCACAAGGACTGGCCAACACATTTGCTTCTCATTTGAAGAAACTCGCTGCACCATTCAAGCAGAGTGAAGAGAAAGCCGGTTGCTTTGTGGCAACAAGGGAAGAATTAGTGTCATGGTTGCAATCTAATATTGCATCACCTGCTGTTACAGCATAAACAATGAATCTTCTGGTAAATAATAGAAGCCGTAGTTGTTCAAGGATAATTTGTAATTTCGAACTTTGCATCATTTTATGTACTGCTTACAGTATCATTACACTCGAAAATTTCTGCTTCATTTTTTTTATTGCATAGGCTTGTTAACAAACCTTCCGAAAGAAAAGAACAATACAATTGATGGAGCTTAGAGGCTGAGATAGATAATAATCTGTTCTAAGATTCAGGATAAAATTCCGGGTATTATAAACCGCATTGGGTGGAAATCCACCTTCAAAAATACAGTGCTCACTTGTTTGACTAGGAAATGGCTCAACTTCACTACCTATATCTGTATCCCCACTAAATTACAGACCTGTTTCTCTTTTTGACTAAGATGAAAAAAAAAAGGAAAAAAAAAATTTGAATAGAGTAAGCACCTAAATTGGAAACAGCTTTTCTCTTTCTTTTGCTCCAAAAGGCATTTCCCTAAATCCCATTTGCGGGTTTTCATTTCCTTCTATCCTGAAACCAAATTTCAGGAATCTGATTAGCCCCTGATGACTACCTTGAATTAACCTTTGCCAATATCATTTGGAGTTCCTCTAACTGTACTCTTGTGATGCCAGATCCAAAATGCCCCTGAAAATTTTAGCACTCTGCACGCTTTCCAAAATGCTTGCTGGAACTTGGACTTCAAGCGTTGCTGTCACCTTCCATACTGAAATCACTAGTCCACATATGCCGCAGCATATGATAATTTTTCAAAGGTATTTCCCCGATGATTTCCAAATTCTTCCCTCGAGTGAGATCACCATAACAGTAACATCATCATGGTACTTTCTACGATCTCCTTGTGGAATGTCCAGTAATTCA